TACCAATAGAACATTCATGAACCAGTGAAAATTGCAAACATTCATAGCAGTAACAATATTTCTGCCGTCCTTGAACACTATCTGTGACTAACACTAAATTTGTCTTCTTGAATATAATCAAATTGTCAAAACGGTTTACAATAAACATCTATTTCAATGTAGGCCTTCAATATCCCATGATCCTTTGCAACACATACAAATATAAGGACCCTAATCACCATCCACCTGAGTCTAGATACTGTAAAATACTTTTAAAATAAATTTTGCTGAAAGATTTTTTGGGTGTTTTGTATGGAATTTATTTTCACTGATTTTAGACGAGTTGGATGTGAAATATAGGAAAAAAGTATATTTTATTTTCACTGAATCATTCCAAGCGAAAATAATGTATTTTACAGTAGTTGAGAGTGAAAGAGATTCTTCAATTTACGTTGTCTTTGTTTCTTTCCCAGTTTTGTCTAACAGTGTCTGCCAATGTTGCCGTGGTAACCAAACAGAATGTGTTCTATATCGACACAAGCGGCAGTTTTAGTGCAGAACGATTGCAAGATATCATGATGGCACGACAAGGGGATGAACAGGTCAGAACATTAGTAAACTCGTTTTTAGTATCATGTCATGTCAAAAAATCTTTGCCTCGGGGAGCCAAACATTTAATATATAATATATATTTAATATACCAAAAACTCCTAACCCAGGTGAGTCATATATTTAATATACCAAATACTTTGCCTCGAGGCACCAACATTTTTAATGTGCTTTCTCAACAGAGTGTGAAAGCAGCATTCAACCGAATACACTGCTGTAACGCATTCGACGTCTACCAAGTGATACAGACATTAGAAGAAATTAGAAGTTCAATAATTGCAGGAAATAACAGTTTTTACACATCAATGAAACTACTTGTACTTGACAGTATTGCTGCTGTTATCTCACCCATACTTGGTGGGCAACAAACTGATGGTATGTAGTATTATGGGATGTTAAAAGTAGATAATGGCATGTAACTATGGTGACAT